AGCTTAGTTTAAATTTGTTGGGTCGTAAGAAGCATGGGACATTAACTTAACACTTCATTTTCTCAACTTTCGTGGTTTCAGAAATAACAATTTCCCCGCCAAAAATTTCGCGAGTCGTACTTGAGTACCGGGGATAATGAATGTCGAATGAATGCGAAGTCGCACATGAACAGGGGACATTTTTTCAAAATTTCAATTTCCCAGCTTTTTTGCCTTCCAGTTGAAAACCCTGGATAAAATGCACTCGAAACACACACAGACACATACAAATACACAGGTAGGGTTATGTGTGTCTTGACAATTATGCGTTTTGTACAACTGTTGCAGCACAAAACGCATAAAAAACAGTGTTTGCATCCTCGACCATCTTGTACATTCCTTTATTATCAAACGAACTTCATTAGCGCCTTGAAGAAGCTAAACTGGAAGCTTCTTTATTAGGTTACTAAAGCAAGCATCCAAGAAGTTAAAGCAAAATTAAATTAAAACTGTACAAGAAGTCAATAATGTGCCACCGCAGTAGTTTTAGAGATTGCTACTAGTGACAGCGTTTTTCTTCAGGATTTTCAGAAACAGGGAATCAGAATCAATTATGTCATGCCCGCACTAGCCACTTTTCTATGACGCGGGAGAGGAGACCGAGCCTTGCCGACGGTAGATCGAAAAGCACGGGCTTCAGTTCCTATAAAATCTAGCATAGGCACGGCATAGTTGATGGTGCCGACTATGAATCTAAACCTGGAACCACCGAAGTTTGAGATATTCAGAATTTGTGCAGTGCCCAGTAGTACGGCCCCTCTAAATCGAGGCAGTTATAATCTTGCTACACCCAGCAACTCAGGTAACAGTGGAAACAAGGTGGTGATGCTCAACGCATACTGCTGAATGTCCAAGTGGCTTCTGCCAAAGTGTTTTTGTAGGGAGAGTCGCTGAGCCAGTTATCCTTTCAAGAAACACAAAGAGGTAACGTCATGGCCGTCAGAAGGCTGATCACCATGCAATATTAGTCAAAACAGCCATGAAATGAAGAAGGAAATGTTGTCGGCTACACCGCTGACGAGTGTTTCGCAGTAGTGAACCAGTGGCCGTTTCAACTAAGAAATGTTTTTTGGTCCATCAGGTGCTGTGAATCAGAATTTTGAGTTTCGCGATTTTCTGGTTCTGTGCTACTGCTGATCCAATTCTGTCCTCCTCGATATTGTAACAGACTTACTCAAAGCTATCAAATTAACTAAATTTTCTTACTCTTGCTACCCGTACTGGATCCAGTACCAGAAGTGGAGTGTTCGATCTGCGTCACTTGTGCTATGAGGCTCGATTCCTTCTTATGCTTCTTATGCTTTTGCTTCTGCATCGACTCTGGCGCTGGTTCTTTTGGCTCTTGCTCAGCATCCTCTTCATCTGACTGCGTCTGCACGGTCTTATCTTTCCTTGGCGGGCGAATAGGTGTCGATGTGGCAAGGGGCTCTGGTTGAGATTTTAATGATTTCGCTGATATTTGCTGAGTTCGTTCCACTTCTTTTTGATCTTCGCTTCTTTTCGGTTTTGATTTCGTTGGTTTCACCGCTGCTTGCCGTGTTAGCTGAGTTTTATCGGATTCTTTTGTTGGCTTCACGGCTACTTGCCGTGTAAGTTGAGTTTTCTCCGATTCCTTTGCTGGCTTCACTGTTGCTTGCCGTGTTAGCTGAGTTTGTTCTGATGCCCTCAACAGTTTCAACTGAGTTTCGTCCGATTCTTTCGCTTCTTTTTTCTAAAATAAACGTCGTTAAATTCACGAAAAACAAAGAGTTTAACAAATTTCAAAGAAGGAAATGCTTTTATTACCTCTACAACTTCTGGTGGCTTTTGCTGCCTAGTCACGAGTGTCATCTGAAAATAGTAAAATATGGATTTTAATTAATAATTTTTCACGTCATAATGCCTTTCTGATAAGGTTTTGAGGTTTGCTTCTACTCGAGTTCGGAGAGATCAATTCCACAGCTAAGATATTTTTGCAGTACACTGCAAAATTACCACACTAAATCGGTTCTCTAAATGTAAGTGCCGCTACTTCAACAGACACCTCGACTTGAACGGATGCAATTAATTCCACAGTTCTCTGACAATTTTTCCATCTGCTTTGACGAGTGTAGTATCGCCTGAGAGTCAGCTTTAGACATTATTTTCGCCTCTTCAAGAATTAGCAGTTCAGCATTTCCAATAGCAGAAGCACTTGGCAAGGCTGTCGACATTTGGGTGTTCAGCACCAATGTCTAGTCCCGAATGTTGTCAGTTCTCGACCACAATGAGATATCTTACTGATTAAAAGTTTCTACCAGGTACTCGATTTCTTCTCAGCTTTCTTTAAAATCTCCTGCGACAGAGAAGGACACTTCACATAACTGACCCATTCATAGTTCTTATACAGAAAGTTACATTAAAAAAAAATTACCGCAGGTGCTGCTGTCAGGCCTCTCTTTAGACTCTAAAAAAATCAACCGGTATTAAGAGAATAATTTATTTTTTCGAACTTTTGTACCTTTCGACAAGATTTTTAGATGCTCACATTTACGTACTGATATAAAAATGCAACGCGTATGGGTAAGCGCTGACCTCACTGAACTACAGACCTCGGCGATTGACTACGCAATTCCTTCAATCATCTTATTGATGGGAATATGGCGCAAAAGACTATAGTTGATTTAAAAAGTTATAAAAGTCAACATGCTGTTAAAAAAACACAGGAAGGGCCAGCAACGCTGCTGAATGATTTGCTTGAACTGCTACATGGAATTATATGGATGGAAAAGATCAATGGACGAAAAGAAACGTGACGATGAAATAGCGACAAGTCAAACCGAGAAAATCACAGAGGACTTCGTTGACTGCTCGCAGTTCGATGCATTTAGAAACTGTTAATTTTCCAAGGTCGGTGTGGAAAAGGACAGGGGATTGCACCACTAGCGGTTCTTAAACTCTTACCACAAAGGTAACAAGTGACAAGGTAAAAGAAATAAACCTATAGAATTCTTACTGAAAAAAATTCACCGTGCTGAGCTAAAAAATAAATTACAGCTACTGCCACTAATATGTCAAAGTTCCGGGCCTAAAATAAGATCGTAACATCACTACAGAAACGAAAGATCCATACACCCGGCTTTTCAACAGGTCAGTCTGGCAACATTAGGAGTGACTGGTATAAGTCAAAGGTCGATGTCAAACCCTTTCCGTATTGATTTGGTATGCAAGGCGGATAGAAATGAAGTTAACAACGGCCATCCACTCTCAGAGCTGTGATTAGTTGTTTAAAAGCAGAACGATAGCCGGTTTGACTTTGACATATGCCATTACCAATTCACAATCAAAACGAATGAACGAATCGTAGAAGAATGGGCTGTCTCACTGGCCGAGTCGAACTTGCGATCTCCAGCGCTACAATGGTGCAATTCCCCACCGTATCACATCCGTTGCAGGTACGCTGTGTAAAAACAACTTGCATCGAAGATGCACAAAACTGCTAATGTAGCCTGTTTTATTATTTCATATCTCGCCTTTATTATTAGCTAGAACAAATAAATATAAGGCTGACCTTCTTCCTCGATGCCTTTTTTTCCGGTTCTTCGGGTTCTGTTTCCAAAGATATATTACTTTCCACGTCCAGCGTGGGTTGATCTGGGCTACGTTCATAATCAATTAGCACTGACATACCCTCCTGCAGTTCAAGTTTCTCAGTTGAGCGGACAATAGTCGATATTCTATCCAGAAAAAAAAAA